TAAGAGTACTTCCTACTTATCTAATCACTTTAAATGCGTTTTCCTATAAACATTTTAAGATCCTAGATGAATTACTGTAAATTATTCTCTGTTAATAACAAATGAAATCAAACTAACTTATAATTAACTTCATTTAGATAAGTGGCTATTATTTTGTTAGTTCAGATTAGAATATATTTTACAAGTCCCGCCACTGAAGTTTAGCGAAATTCTTTTATAATTCGCATTAGTTTTTAATTATATACACAATAAAAGTAATAACAGCTCGCTAATGAAAGCTTGTTTGGCATATCGCCAAAATTATAAATATATATTGCATATATACATATAGAACAGTAACCGAATTTAGCCGGCGATGGCATGATTATCTCCTGATATGTTTGGCCATTGTATTTATTTAATAATATACTAATTTATTCTCATATTAGAATAATTCCTAATATAAATGAAGAATAGAAAAAATTGAATGCGAAATGAACTTGAGATTGAATATTCTAATTTAATTGGTTTTTTATACTTCTGCAAATATATACACTACAAAAAATTTATGAGTTTGTTTAAACAATATTATGTTTTTTTTATGAAATACTGTACTGACCAAATATATTATTTTTCTTGAATTTATAAGTTATTCATATATTTTATAATTGTTACAATAAAATATTGAAACACTTTATTTAAGACGAAGTAAAGTTATAAATGTAATATTGTGATATGATAAACTGGTAATTACAATACCATAAAAATATCATAAATTATAGAAGATTGTTTATTTTTTTCTTTCATTAATTTATATAATTATGACAATGTAATTTTAACAATTCATCATACAAAATTTTTAATGTATTCTTTTATATATGTATAAACATATTTAATGGGTAGACAAATTAAACTACACTTGAAAAGACATGGTACTTTTTTATATACGGATTTACAAAAAAAAACGGATTTATGGTAAATATTGTTTAGTTCAGCTGGTTATTTGAAATGTACTATATGATATGGATATATATAATTTTTCTGTAATATCTAAATCAAGTCACCTATTACTTTTTTGTCCCTAAAAAGTTCAAATTTGATAAGAAAAAAGCAGTAGGTTTCTCGCTTCAAAAACGAAAGTTTCTTTTTCGTTATGAACATTTCTTTTTTTACTTCCTAAATATCGGTAAATATTAAAGTTCAGACGCAAGTTCTCCAAACCAACCCTATTTTTCATTGCTTGGGCCATAATTCTCTAAGTAAAAGCACTTTGTATAAATTTTAAAATTTTGTTTTATTTTTTTGTTTCTAAAAAGGTTTGGTATATTAATAATAAATTTATGCAGTGATAGCACTTTTAAGCGGAACCCGATGTGACTGGCAGATCTAGTAATTTCTTCAGTTAACAGAACTGAGTTATACACTAAGAAACAAACATAGTATAAAAAGTGAAAAGTAGTATCATTATACGTTTAAGAAAGTTGTCTGTTTATGAAAAGGCTCTAATTTAAAATTTGCAATACTATTAGGAGGAAAGGAAAAAATTCAGACCTACTATATATACAATAATCAAGAAGTGTCGATTATTGAGGTTTGCAATACTTGAGGTGTTACTATATTTAAAAATAATTTATAAACTAAAATTTATGGTTGAAACTTATTTTTCCTTATTTTTGATCAAAAACGTATATCTTACTTATATATTAATTCTTAAAAAAAAGTATGAAAATATTAGTTCATATTTTAAAAGAAGCTAATGCTCTTAACCAAAACCGGACAAGGCTATGCCACCCTAATGAGGTCTTTTGTGACGTTTGTTCAATCTCTATAGACAAGAATAATATTTTAAACGTAATAGTTTTAATTACGCATCGTGTACATAGTTTAAAAACACTATTTCATAGAAATTAGTAATAAAAGCATGACCTTTTTTTAGACTCATAATAAGACATATTATTATATTATTTTCTCTATTAAATTTTGGTCGTACGACTGTTTCCTGTGCTGATAAGATAAGCATTTGGTATTTTCCAATAATATTCTATATATTATTTTATGATTTTTTATTGTTAAATTACTCATACCCAATTTTTTAATCATGTGAAAGAAAATTTAACAAGTGCTTATGGAATTGTAAAAATTGAAAAAAAAGATAAAGATATCTGTAATATTTCGAGTATAATATATGCAATGTAAGTTATGGTGGCACACTTTAAAAAAATTGGGCAGCATAGGGCACCTTGACACTCACTTATTCATTTCGCTGGCAAAGCACGCACCAACAGCGTGACCACTTGTAAATTTCTACAAATGCATACAAAGTTAATTTACATTGATAAATATATGCTAGTATATATGTATATATATTTATAAATTACAAATATATAAAGACTTAAAACATTTCCCGCTATAATACAAAGAAAATCTCTATACAAAGACAGCGTATCTATCGAACACAATGTATGACTTTTCAATAGATTTTCACAAATTTACTTAATTATTTACTTAATTATTTACTTTGTAATGAATTATGCCCATGCATTGTTGAAGTTGGAACGTGGGTACAAGTTACAATTCTTGCCAGACACAAATCGCCGAACCTTGTAAGTAACTCCATGCGATAGTGATAGTGATACTGGCCAGACATCAGACTTATGATAATATTTTTGATTTTTATAAATACACTTAGAAAAAAAACTCAATCTGTTAAGTGATTTAAGTGCCTGTGCCCATGATAATTTTTTTTCAGTTTTAGTGTTAAATGCGTAATTATTTTAGTTTAAATTTGTTAGATATTTTTAAGTTATCTCAGACTATTATGTGTTAGTAGTTTGTGTAGCACTATAAATAATCACTACATCGTCTAAAAATATATCAAATTTTTATTAATTCTTGTAATCTTAAAATTTTTACAAACGTAAAAAAAATTCTATTACGTAGAAAAGAATGACATCAAGAATTTCATATTCTTCTGCTTAGTATTATTGATCACTATTAACGAAAAAACCAGTATGAGAATATCATAATAAAATACATTTTTTTACAGTATAAACGATTTTTCAGTGCTCCAATATCGATAGATAATTTCTTAATTTAAGTAACGAAACATAGCGTATCTTTATAGGAACTTCCATTTTTCCAAATTAAGTCCAACTTTGAGCAACCATAATTTGTCTGAATAGACTCATTGTACTCGGTCAATCAAATACTTCTCAATTCATTTTGCCTCATTTTCGTCGATATATTTGTCATACTGACGGGATACTGTCTTATAAACAGACATACCAACATAGGATTCTTTTCAAAATACATTATATTGCAGTATATTATTTTGTATAAAGGGTTTTTCAGTGTCCCAATTTTGGTAGATAATAACTTGGTCCAAGAAACTAAACATAGCGTATTTTTATAGAAAGTTCCATTTTTCCAAATTAAAATTAACTTTAAGCAATCATAATTTAAGTAAGATTTTAAGATACTGGAAGTTTTTAGTTAAATTTTTTTTCTTTTTTTCGAATTCAAAGCTCTTTACTCATTGTATCTCGGTCAATAAAATATTCTTCAATGCATTTGATATTTTTGTGGTCTTGTTCGTATCATTTTCGTCAATATAATTGCCAATCTAACGGGATACTGTCTTATAAACAGGCATACCAAAAAATAATTATTTCCAATAATCCATTTATGTTCTCTCTTCTCCAACTGTTTGTATGGCATCATAAGTATAGATACCATATATAATTACTGGATCTTGAAATAAAGACCTAACATATAGACCTAAAAATATACTATATTTATATCATAATTAATGTATTATATATCTTTTATTATAATAATAAAATATTTATGATAATAACATCATTTAAAGAAAAATAAATAATAGCAATACACGTTTTTACTCTTTGCGCCCTTAAAGTATAAATAATAGTAACTTAATAGTTTACAAAGAAATTCTTAATTAAACTTATTTAAACAATAAAAAATATTTTTCATGATTTTAAATTTAAATAATAAATTTTTAAAGATTAAGTTTATAAAGTAATTCATAAGCAATTCCACGCGTAATTCTTTTTAAACGTTTTCTAAAAAAAAAAACTATAATTATCTACTTTATGCTGTACTGTAGTGTAAAGGTTACACATAAACTAAAAAACGTGTGTTGTGTTATTAGTACTTCGAGACAGTTAAAGATTTATTATAGTATATAAAAACCGTTTTCATTTGATTTCATACTCTGCGAAAGACCTGCATTGCTAATAATCAAGTTATTTCTCTTCTTGAATTTAATTTGAATTCTTTAGCAATAATTGCCTGGCCCCTTTTGTTGTCTTATCAAAGCAAAATATCTACAATTTTTTTTGGCTTTTGCCTAAGTTTTTACTTCTAATATTTAAAAAGGTTTCAGGTGTCGGCGATATCCAAAATAAAAACCACCAAAAAAAGCGAACGACAATATCGACGACTTCATGTGTTGTATGTTGTCTGATTTTCGAAATGAACAAGTTTCCTACTTAAGTTTTGCATCGCATTTGCATAAAAATTGGTTTTACCAAGTCCAAAAAAACCGAACGATACAAAAATAAAAATCAGTAGATATTATAAAAATAGAAACAGAAATAGAAAAATTCAAATCATAATTTATAACATTGAAACATCATTTTGGCACTTTTCGAAGACCGACAAATTTGTTAAAGCCGTTAAGGTGCCTTGAAGTTGGCGTGTGTTTCTAACCAAACAACAGTCAGAATTTTTTTTTTCGGTGGTTACGCCATTTTGCGGAAGTCTCATACCAGGCAGACTCGAAGACGACTTTTGACATCTTTTATTGGTAATCTTTGTTTAAACTTTTTATATTTGGAACGTGTAGCGATGGCGTTAGACCGGTTAGTTTTGATTATAATATCGATATTGTGATTTTGATATATGCTTAATTAATTTTTATGACTTTGTGTTTGTCTACAAAGATAAAATGTGCTGGCATGAATTAATTAATGATTTCTATTTATTATTAATCTTTTTAGAAACTGTCTGCGCAGAATTGCACGCCACGACGAACTACAATTCTCCAAAGATAGCATTGTAAATATGATGGAGAAATTTGTCAAAACTGTAAATATAATGGATGACACAATCTTGGTTCCATGCAGGCTCATGGATCGACAGGTTAGTCTGATTATTACAATAATATATATTCCATTCATATTATCAAGCTTACTTCAACTCTCATATTATTCGAAAAGTTAGTTCAACTATAAAAATAGTTGCTTAACACAGACTTGTCAAAGAGTTTATACATGTACATCTGTTGCGGTATTATAATCAAGGTCTATATAATGTACCCAGCTTAAAAATTATATTTTAACTTGTGAAGTTGTGGGGCTAAAGTTGTATAAGTCATAGTTCGAAATATCGCTTTCCATGTTCAGCTTCAATTATAATAATTGTATATACATATATTTATATATATTTTATATTATATAACATATATATATATAAATATATTTTTATATATAAAATAATTATATTATTATGAATAAAGCTTTAATTTAGATGTGGTTTAATGTGTTCCATTAAATCTACAAAGTAGTAAAAATAAATATGGTTAATTTAATTGACGTAAAATTGACTCAGTGGTCTGTTTTATAAAAGAAGTCTAAATTTTCAATTATAAGTAAGCATCAGACTTGTGGCGACTGGTATGCACTTAAAATCAAGTCAGAAATATATTCCCATAATAGTTGGTAATGGATATTTGAAAGTAAATGAAACGAAACAGTTGTCATAAAAACAGTTGTCAGTCCGAAAATATTTTACATACAAAAAATCAGTTTTTCCACTTAACTTGTTTATAGTTGTAGAAATTATAAAATAATTCCCTAATTTAATTGTTGAGCAAATATTAAACATTTTATAAAATCTTGTCCACCTTGTTAATTTGAGAATACTAAGTCAAGACAAAGAAAGCTATTTGTTCATAAAATCTGGATCAGCTTTAATCAATCTTCAAAAGCTGAACGTTAAATAGAACGGTCATCTATAAGTAAGTCCTCTGGACATGAGTCGGTTTTAGTAAGGCAGCTAAATCCACCATTCAGATCCTCTAAAAATTCAAAAACATCACACTTAGAAAGATTTATATATTTCATGTTTATTTTAAAAATAAATCTTTATCTTTATCACCATTATCAAGTGAATAAAGGTTTGAAAGTCGATGTACTTCAGAACAATAGATTATTATATCATATTATAGATTATTATATCAATAAATTTTAATGTTCGCTAGGAAAAAGTCAAGCTACAAAAAGAATATTTGTGGATATTCATTTGGTATACTTTAATTAATCTATATATAACATATAAGAGATTTCACAAAAAAAGTGAGATAGCATGTCTGGTTCTTCTAGTTTAAATCAAAAGACATGATCTGAGAGAATGAAGTTAATGTATCAGTTATTACCTACTCTTTTTCTATTTCCAAAGAACTGACTTAAATATAGTTTAGAAATTCTTTAACACTCTTTACATTTCAAATATCGGAATCAAATATCAATAAATCTGAAAGTACAGCTTAAAGAATATAATACATTATTGTAGGATATAAGGATATATACAGGCTTACTGTTGTGCAGCACACGATTACGGTATATACTCGGACTATAGACTATATTAGTCAATTTCTGTAGTCATTGACTGTGTGCCTTGATCGTTAAACAACATTCGGAGTTGTACACTATTGACCGACTGTAGTTTAATTGTGCGTTGATCATTAGTCTGTCTATCTGGAAGTTACTGTTTCAGTTTTTGAGGTATTTCTATGAAATTTTGCATATGGGGTTCCAAGCAAATAAAAGCGATGTATTTTAGGTAGTAAGGAAAGGACCATGTTAGGTAGCAACAAAGCATAATAACTACCAATATTGGGTTTATATTTATAAATATGTATCTGTTTTCAATTTGACAATTAAAAATTTAGTTAGTAAATAATTGTTTTAAAAAGTTATAGTATAGTAAAAATGCGCGGAAACCAAAAGTATCCTACATCGTTTTTAAGGTTTCATATCCCGTTTTTATTAGATTTATAAATTTTTTAAATAGCTAATATTGGTTATCTATAATACTATAGGTAATATATTAATTTTACTATAGATGGCGATGACATTTGTAACAAGCTTGTTAAGACCTCTACGTCAACTTAAAAAAAAAATTGAAAATTGATCACAGCTTTTCACTTTCATTATTTAATTTATTAGATTACTTATTAGATATTTAATTATTAGATGTATTAGATAATTTTATATTTGTATGCGATGGAAAGCGTTTTTAATGTAGTTTAAATAACTTTTTATTAATTTGAAGAATCCGGTTGCTTAATGATGTAATATGTAGACTTTACTTTCTTTCTTAAAGTACTGAAATTTGTTTAAAAACAGTTTTAATGCGAAAACCATAAAAAAAATCGGTTATAGATACATTACACTCTATGTTTTCATGATACTCTAAAATCTTCAATCAGAGGAGGTCAAAAAACGTGCAAAGCATCCGTTAGTAATTCAAAAGCACATAACAAGTTTTATATATATTCAGAAATTAGTACCATTTTTTCTGTTAAGTACATATCTTTATTAATAGATAAATAAAGCAATTTATCTATAAAAATATATCTTTGCTCTTAAAAACTTTTTCAAAACAATTTCATTTTTTTAATTTTTTTTTGTTTTTGTCTTTTTTTAATTTTAGGTTGGTGACAGCAGTGATATTATACCAGCACCTGGTAAAGACTCAACTTCGAATCAACATACTTTCAATTCAATTACTAACGGAAAACGCAGTGTTGCACAATCTAAAAATGTACATGAATTCTTGACATCATCGGAGCTCTTCAATTTGTACAATATGCTGAATTCCTTGAAAAATGATCTTTTATGGACTGGTAAAGACAATAGCGAAGAAGAGGAAGATCCAATAACTAATGTTCAAAATAAAATAAATGAACTCAATAAGGGCGCTAGACTCAGCCCAGAGTCAGAGCCAAAGACTGATAACTCAAATACAGAAGTAGCTACAAATGCCACCAATACCACAACAACAGTCGCAAGTACAACAATCACAAAAGGTCATATACGTCGCCCTTCAACCGCTTCTGTAACGTCAACAGCTTCAGGTAGTAATATCAGCGATTCGGAAAGTGAAGTTTCAAATGAAAATGATTCTGGTGTTGAATCAGAAGTAAATAAAGCCAGTTCAATTAGCAGCAGTGAAGATTTATGCGCACAGAAAAAGAAGGCCGCAAATGCAGATAAAGCTACCGAACTTGCGCAACGTTGTAAAAGACATTTAAATGGTCTCTATCAATGTCTAGAACAAATGACAGAGGCGGCAAATTATTTAACCGCCAGATACCAAAGTGATATTGGACCCGTCTAGGGACCAACTTTTATAATGGGCGGGATCAAAATGTGGGTTTCTACGGTAATAGGGAAGGTGGGAAGAAAATGTAAGAAAGCAGATATAATTTTGTGTAGGGTAAGATCGTAGTTAGCCATTAGGTAAGATCTATAACGATGAAAAAATACAAAGTATAAAAAAAAAATCAAAAAAAATAAAAAAAAATGTATGTAATTTAAGTGGAAAAATGTTAATTGTTTCTGTATTTGTGTTTGTAAACACTATTCAAGCCTTTGTCATATAAAACTTGCGTTAAAATCAAAGGTCAAACCACAGCACAGATAGCACTTGTTGTAAGAAAAAGCTTAGAAAACAGCAGTAACGATAACAAGTTTATCCAGCATAAATACTACATCACAAAAAAAAAAACAAAAACAATAAAAATGATATAAAATTTTTGCCTTGTTTTATCATTTTTATTAAAGCCAAAGTCAGAGTCTCGTCTTTGAGCAGCATTAATTGGCGCAGATTAAAGTACAAGTTTCGAAGTCTCAGCAAATATCAGTTAGAACGTGCGCCATATACACTTAACTGATTTGAGAAAAAGACTGACAATGACACTTTTTACTGCTTTTAATGCGCACATCAACAATGAGACAACAACCTCTAAAAATATTCTATCTGCGCCGTTAGACTGCTCAACTCAACCGATAAAGTACAATAGTGCAACATACCGATACCGATACCGATACCACTACTGAAGAAACCTCCGCACACTTATTTAACTGTATTTCAAATAGCATTCCTTGTGGTTCTTGAGAACGTAGTGGTAACACTGATTTAAAATTACTTCTAATAGACCAAGAGAAAAGATAAAGACTTCGGAATTTATCAAAGCCACAACTAGAATCACTATAAGTAGTATCATCAGCAATTTAGAAACTCTCTAAATCTAAATCTTAGTTTATAATATATTAAGCCTTATCGATAACTAAGCAAAATGTTAAAAATTAGTGTAATTTGGTCAAGTGTTTGTAATTAAGGGACAAAGCGTTATCAAAATCAAAGAAAAACTGTTATTGTTAATTATTTCTATTATGAAATTTGTTTATTTTTTACTACATATTTACATACATAATACGTAATTGTGTAATTGCTTTCTATTTTGAATGAAACTTAAAGAACAATAAAGCTTTCTCACAATATAAATAATAGTAATAATAATATTAATTAATTAATTATAAAGAAATGAAATTTCTTTGCAATAATTGAACTCAGTTTAAGCTTATTGGATGTTATATGAAATAAATATAATTCCATTAAAAGCCACACCCATATGTGAACAATATTTGTGCTTTGTTACCGGGTGAGGAATACTAATTTCAAGCCACAATTTGTATAAATATATATAATAATATATAATAATTTTTGGTTAAATATTAAGTTACGAAGAGATCAAATTTTAAGTCACTATGCTAAAGAAACTGTTGTACTTTTTATTTTTATTTTTGTATCTATTGGATGTACATATATATTAATGAGATGGAATTATATTTCATAATGTAAATTAAATATAATTTTATTTAAAAATAAAATATAATTAATATCTTATTTAATTTTGTTGTTATTTTTTTTTGTTTTTAAATTTCATTTGAGGTCAAAATATAACTTACACAACATAAATTTTTACTGAAAGTGTGTCATATCAGCAAACTGTAGTATTAAATTCTACAGAAATTTAACCGGTGTGCTCTATTCTATATTTAAAAAAATAATATGACTTTTAAGACTGAACTTTTAAAAGTCATGTACTACTGGTTTTTTTTTTCAGATCTACTTCACTATACTTATGAGTTTTTATTAAAACTAATAATGGCAAAAAATATTATAAAAAATTTAATTACTACATATTAGTTTTATATATGTATTTTCATTTATTTATAAACTATCAGTAGTTATTCAGTACATAAGATAACATGTTAATATTCATACATACTTGTAGCTATGTCTATTACTGCTGCTATTATCCACCTTCCCCAGTGGGACATAGGACCTCAATAATTCTTCTAAATCTGATTCTATTTGATGCTTCTCTGTAGATGTCGTTCCATGTGTATCGTGCTTCAGCTAGCTCAGTTTTTACCGTTCTTCTCCACGTGTACACTAGCGCACCAGGCCTTGCTATGTGATCTCCCGGCTGTCTAAGCGTATGGCTTGTCCACTTCTACTTTAGGCGTTTATTTGATATTCAAACTGACCACCTTATTTTCAGAACTCTACGCAGACACTTACATCTATCAGTCTATGTATCTGTACTGCTTCCATGTTTCACAGTCGTAGTACAAGATAGATTTCACGTAGCTATTTCTAATGAATATATACTAGGATTTCAAGAGCACCATCTATGTTTAATTAAGAATTGAGTTAACCCAAATAATTCTTCAACATTTACAAATAGATTTCTAAACGCTCATTTGTAATTTTTGTGGGTGATTAATAGGCGTAAATTATATCCTAGAAGTACAAATATAACGGGACTTGTAAGAAACTTGAATTTTGATTTTTGTTGTAAATGTGGAGGAAATTATAGATGATTTACCATTAACTGAGATATTTCTTAAGGTCGATGTTTAATATTGGGTTTGATCTTGCTTGTGCTTTTATGTTGTCGTGTTTACTATGCGTTGTACCACAACTACATCTAACTCATAAATTTTTGTTTGCTGATTCAATTTGAAAATAACACAGTTGGAAACAGATCAATATGTCCCTCGAAGACCTCTGGAAGACAAAGAGACATACATAACGACCGATCGATCGAAATGTTTCGGTTTTTCTTTTTTACAGTTTTTAATTTAATTAATACTTTTTCACAAAGCACTTGAAACAACATATTACCAGGAAGCAATACCATTTTTAGTGAAAGAATTGTAGTATTTGTTCTTTGCTCGTTTTCATTTCTTGTGGTCTGCGTTCATTTTTAAATTTTATTATAGGATTTTATAATCGAATTTCTGTATATTTTAATCTATATATTTTGTTAATCGAAAGCACGCACTCAACGTTATTATCTGTTTAGACACTGAGTCGATCTTATCACTGAACCTGTTTAAAAATATTTCTAAATAAATTCATTTTTAACAATCGAAAAGTATGTGTCTTTGCGAATTATTTGAATGCAAACTCTTCAGAATTTAGAATCATTCACATAATTTTCAACTGATGACTTAATATAATATCTGTGGGATTTATAAAACCCCAGACTTGAGTCTTCTGGTTTTTAATTGTCGATGCTTCTTTTTTGTGTGAATTTCTCTGATAAATCTACGGTTTGAATGTAGTTCATGATATTTATTGAACTTTGATGTGATATTTGGTTACCATTAAAAGAAATGGGAGAAGTGTCACCTCTTTGAAGAGCAAGTATAACGATTCGGTATCGCACACTAAAAATTGAGTAAAAGTTGGCTTGAAATGTCTGATGGGTAAAACATATTGGTCACCGATTTAAGGAGAAATCTTTAAATATCCAAAACTTGACAACACCCTTACTTTACATAAATTAAAACTGTTCCTTATATAGTTATCAGAGAATAGCAAAGTCCTTAACTTCATATTTTTTAATACAATATAATAACCGCCTATAAATAAGAACTGTTAAATGATAAATAGAAAAGAAATGACTACAACTTGTTCCATTGAAGCAAAAAATAATGTTATTGACCCCATGAAATACATACGAGTATAGATATTGTCTTAAACAGCTCTTCGACAATAAAACCTATTTCCATACGATTTGTTTGTGTATCTGCTATGAATATTGAGTAATTATGAATAATTTAATAACTTCATTTTTATCAATATAACGATTATTGGAATCTAATCTTTAAAAAATGCTATTAAATATTTATCGAAATGTCAACAAATTTGTTAATTTATTCTTATAGCTTAATTATTATACATCAAGCTCTATTATATATAATAGAAAAATAGATATATAATATAATTTAAAACAATTCCTTTTTTTTGGAAATGATCATTAAACATTTAGTTAAGTGATTGAAATTGGTTAACTAGATCTCATAGCTAGCTACAACATCAAAATTATAATCAGAATATAATCATAAATTTATCTCAAATATTTTTAATATATAATTAATATTATTTTCTTTTGTTAAATGTTAGTATATATGTCATATTGCCACTATACTATTTCTTACCTAGAATATGAATGTGATTATTTATATTCACTTCAAGTAATTATAGTTTTGAAATAACAATAATGAATATGGACATAATATACTTTAAAAGTGACATCATAACTTGCAGAAAACTATCTATGACCGAGTTATATCTTTACTTGAAAAGATTTGTTCAGGATCCAATTGTTACTATACTCAATAGGACTTAGTATATTTATTCAATAGCTTTATGGTGTTTGTCTGTAAAGTTGTGATTATATATACAACGTTCTTGCTATTATACTATGTTCAAACAGCCAAATTTCCTTAATTTCGTAAAAATGAAAGTAAGTTAATTTCGAAAGTGTTCATACTGCCCCAAATGAAGGCAATCATATGTGTTTTGTATATAAATCGAATGTTAAAAATTACATGCTCCAAATACCATTTATACCTGGGATATTATTAGGAAATTAGGAAGTTGATTATTATAACTAAAAAGACTGGTATTCAGTAGTTTTATTAGCTTCAGTAGATTTTAAATATGTGATTATTATTTTTCACTCTACTTTAAATTAATAATAGTTACAGTTTTTTCTCTATATTCAAATTTAAAAATTTGCACTACTTTTAAAATATTTTCCCTATTTTATTAAAATCAACTGTCACTGACATTTATTTTAAAAAAATGTCACGTTTTCGTTATCTCAACTCATCTTTTCCTTATAATTTATCTTTCGCGTAGTTGCATCCTTCGTTCGTTCTAATCTTAAAACTGAATTTTGTATGGAAAAAACAATATAATTTCGCCGAAACGAGGATGAAATCAAGAATTTTGCGAAATTAAGATGTGTCTGAACATTATTAAAAAAAAAGAAGATTTTGTGTACTGTGACCAAAAGATCTATTGTGCCCCTTACTCGGGTTAGAGTGTTTCTTCAAGTCCGATTTCTTTAATGAAACACAGTGTAGAGCCTACCTTTCCTAGTCTTGAATCTTTATGATCCATGAAACACCCTTCTAGGTGTTTCTTCCGCTTGTGCATCAGTGCCGGGCATTTCCCAACCACATGGTATACAATTTCTCTCGTGTCTGATAATAGTTGTATACTTGATAATTTTTTTTCTTATTAAGTGTCCAGGGATGGCTAAAACATCGGCACTTGTTAATTAATGTTTTTATTGTAGAATAATTGTAATTTAATGACTATTGCGACGTGAGGTCTATATTTCTTTTATTGTGAAAACC